ACGTCGCACGGCAAAATTCGTCTATTAAAAACGTGCTATTCGGTAATAATTCCTCACCACATATATTTCTTTAACAGCGAAAAAGAATATACCCCAAATAGAAAACTCTCAATTTCCTCTGCATCGTCTTCACGCAGCAGTGGTTCTACGTCACACAAAAAATTAAAAAGTAATAATGGAACATCACATATACCATCTCCAGAACCATATATTTTGGAGAACGGTACAAATTCAACGACAGAAGCGGAACATGACAACAATAACCATAGTCCGCATGGTGTTCAAGGTAAGATGTGAAACTTAAAGGGTTAAGAGGTACAATTGTAGAATCTTAAAAACACAAATATTGATGGTCAATACAACATAGGGTTTAAGGACCGGATGCAATATTTGTGTAATATTATCGAAGTTGTAGGTGTTGAATACAACTGATAACGTTGATTGTAAAAAGGTTAGAAATAATAATACCACAGAAAAGGATGTCCGTACATACGAGGCTCATTCAATTATTTCTTGACACAACTTTCATCACAATATTTTAACTTATGTTAATTTTCGATAAATAAATTTCTTTATAGGTCCACAAACTCAACCAATTAAAGTCATAATAAAAGTTACACTAAACTCATAACGACGTTCCGTCGCGTCTAGTCCAGTTAAAGGTCGCATTATTTTTTATAACAAGTCATTTATTCATTTTAAACAGTTTTTTTTTTAAAAAAAAAATTTACAGATTTTGTTCGTTCCTTATAACATTCTTTTTTAACATTTTACTTTTTTTTTTTTGTGTTTTGCCTTAAGCAAAATGAAAATAAATCTGGAGTCAAAGAAACGCTGACGAATAAAACGAAGATACTGTAAAATTCAAGAAAATACACGGTAACACCTATATACACCGAACACACACCAACTCTATAGAAAAAAAGCACACCAACTTTGATCTTCATTTTCATTGAATGGAATATGGAGCCGAATCTGATGTTAGTACAGTTAATGCCTTCTATCAAACACCTGTAACAGAAAACAGGAGAATGAACAATGATAACGATAATCGAATTGGAGGTTGATCATAGCTAGCATAAATTTTGTGATTACCTTTGTGTAAATTTAAATAATCCATTTGTATTAATTTTCGTAGTAAAAATAGATAATTTGTTCATGTTAAAAAAATTTATGGTAGTAAACATATTTGTTAAGATTAAAATTTGCAACATGCTAAATTTAATTTATTTGTCAAAAGATAAATAAATGAATATATTTATTAATTGCAACAGTTCTATTTCTTTGAAATAACAAAAGTTTTTTTTTGCAAAATACATTGTACAAGAAAAAACATTTATAACTCTTATTCCATTTAATTATATCTGCCAATGCTATTAAACTTGAAATTAAATTTGCTATGTATTATTATAAATGGATTAAGCCACAACTGATGGCTCGTAATGGAAATGAAAAGATTGAACCAATGGTCAATCCGACTACCAAGAAAAATGACATAAGTGTTCCTGCAAGTTCCTTATCGACACCCGCCACTTGTGGACCAGCCATCATCGCTAAGGATCCAATGTAACCATTGGAAACAGAAAAAATAAATATAATCAAGAAATATAGCAAATCGCTATTTATTAGCAACGGTAAAATTCTTTTCCCATGTAATCCAGCGTCAACGTTGCAAAACAGTAGTATTGGTAAGAAAATAGCACGACAGATTGACATAAATGCTATTTGATTCTGATCGGTTATCACCAATACTTCTTGTGATGGTAGAGATCTGCCCAGCAAGTCCGCAAAATTGAAAACCAAGAAATGTAATGGTATAAATAAATAATCGTATTGAAATTTGTTTTTCTTATCATCAGGAGCCACAGACTTGATGAATGAGGTTATAGAAGGAAAAACGCTCAAAGTTATACAAAAAACACATGCTACCGCGAAAATTAGCTTATAAATTTTGTTAAATGTGTCTTTAAAAGATCTGCCTCTTAAAGGATTGTCTATGCTTCGATCCACACAAGTCAAGTTGGGTGTAACGTGGTATATATAAAGGGGCAAACGAATAAGAATGAAATACGAAATTAATGAAAGAAATATAACAGCAAAAGCGGAAAGAAAGTAAATAAAAGCGCTGCGTGTTAAACTTTCGTCAGTTTGAATTTGTTTTGGCGATCGTTCAACAGCAAGTGCGCTAAAAATTTGAGAAAATGACATAGCAAGGCCAGCCAAACCTAAACCAAATTTCAGAAAAATTTAATTACTTTTCAAGAAAATTAAAAATTATGAAAACTTTAATTTCTAACATACCTTGACCACTTAATCAAATAACGAATTCATTTAGAACAGAAAGGCGTTAGCATATATAAAGAAAAAAATAAGTCACTCAACAAAATATTTTTCAAATCTCATTACCTCATAACAGCTTGGATGTATTTTGGAGGAAATAAAGCTACGATCCCAAATATTGCATTTTGATAATAAGCGGCTGTCATTCCACTAAGAAAGACAAACGTGATAGTAAAATAAAAGTATTCTGTTGGTGTAAATAACTCTAAGAATTGTGTGGATACTGTCATGGCAAAGAAAGTAAAAGCAGCGAGACTAAGGGAGAAGACCAATCGGACCGAAGCATTCGCCTGAATTGTAATAAAATTAGATAAAATAAATATTTAACTGCAAATATCAATAAAACCAACCGTTTTTTGTGTAAACAAAGCGTGGGAGAGAAATAATAATGTTGATCCCATATTAACAATAGAAAAATAGCTCTGAAAATCATCGGAATAAGGAGATCCAAGGAATCTGGTGTGAAAGAAGACCGAGGCAGTAATAAATACTACAAAGGAATTTAATATCAATCATGATGTGCAAAGTTTTATATTTAATGATTTAATAATTTTCTAAGATTTATTCACCATTCCAGCCTAGAAGCATTGCAACGCCTTGAAGAAAAAAAATACAATAAACAATTCGATATTTGTCCTTAGGAGGAGGAATGCTTATTAAAGCTTCCTGTTGACTTGAAATATCAGTTTCATTCACCACATCGTCATTATCGATAAGGTAATATTTATGTGTATCAGGTTTTAAGAGTCTCGAATTTGACATTATGATTAGCAGAGAGACAAAGATTTCGATCAGTGTTAAATGCAATATCGATATTCATAATTTTTTGATATCTGATATATAAAGATACCACGTACGTACGTACAGTACGTAAGTAGTAAATTTAAATTAGACGATCAACCAATTAAAGTCATAATAAAAGTTACACTAAACTCATAACGACGTTCCGTCGCGTCTAGTCCAGTTAA